TAGCAGTCAAAGGTTTGCTCGCAGTAAATTAATTCAATGTTGATATCTTGTATTGATATTAACTTCTCCTAATTCAACCATAAATAAGATTGCCTGAAAATGTGTTTTAATTTCAAACTGTCATGTTTCCTGTTTCCTCGGCAATAATTCTGGTAGTTTCTGAAATTAACAACTTGCTTTGAATTATATGCCGTTGTCCTTTGGACTTATGCCACATTGAAACTGAACTGCACTGGACAGGAAATCTACTTTCCTCAAAACTCTTGGAATAGCTTAGGCAATAATTTGAAATATTTTATTCATAGAATAGGATTTATTCAAAGAATCATAGAATCCTTGTAGGCAATTCGGCCTATCAAGTCTGCATTGACTGTCTGAAGAGCATCCCACCCAAAACCAGCCCCCACCTAACCCCGTAACCCCATTACCATGACTAATCCATCTAATGGCAGCTCATTTTACATAATTCCTGTTTTTTTAAGCTTTCCATTAAAATCACCAGAAATAAAAATTGGAAAACCTGTAGAACAGACTGCCCAATTTGCTGTCAACCATTTTACAGTATGGAACATCAAAATCCACTGGTAAACAAAGCTGTCATTCTGCTTGAGAGCAAACAGTGCTGTTTCATTGTTCAGTCCAGATCCTTGTAAATTTATGAACAAGAATGAAGATCTCAACAGAACCACAATTTCATCATTACACAAAATGTATTCAGCCTATCATTTGTGACAAGAGTTGTACATCTGCATTGGCTCTGGAAGAGACTGATGGTAACAGTAAGCAACTGAATGCAGATCTGTCCTCTAGATGCAGAATGTGTATTAAATTTGAGTTCTGTCAGACCAAAGTGATTCTGTTCAGGTTTTGAAACTTGTCAGTAGAGTATAGGTTAGTACAGGAGGATTGTGGGCAATAAGATTTTTTTACACAGCTACTTTGCGATGCAGAGTGATACCAACAGTGTGGATTCAGTTATCACACTGGCTCAGGTTACCATGAATGACTTTCCTTCTCAACTTCCCCTCATCTCAGGCATGGTGACCCTCAGGTTAAACCACCAGCAGTCATCTCTGTCTAATGAGAAAGCAGCCCTGTGTTCTGATAGGACTTTACCTTATTTACCATTTAACTCCAAAATGTGAATATAACACAAAACCTGAGGAACCTTGTATTATCTTCAATCATAAAAGCTGGATCAATGTTTTACTAATTTCACATACATTTCTTAAGTTAGTGTGAAATTTTTTTGGAAGCTTGGGAAGCCACTTCTTTTGAGTCACTGCCACGTAGTTCTGGTTTTTTTGCAAAAGCAACTCTGCAGGTTTAGTGCAATTTGAAACAATCTTGAAGACCAGGACTAATTACCCACAATTTTCAGGTTTGACATCATGTAAAGGTGTGGAATATGTGATCACTATTTGGCCAATAACATTGTGCTTTTCCAAGAGTATGACATTTTTATAAACATTTATTATGTGTTAGAAAAAGCCATTTGTATGGAGGACACATGTGTTGCAACATTTTATCTTCCACAATATACCCAGTGGGAAGAATTCCAATAAAGGCCATCAAGAACGATGCCAAGATTGTAGGAAATTTTGGATCACCAATACCCACCTTCAAAACAAAAGACAGAATTCTTTTAATGGAGCAGTCATTTTAACATACAGCAGCCATCATACACTATATTGAATAAAATAGATTTTAGTTGTTATGACTTAGAGCAGACTTGTATACGAACTCCTTACTTCTTAATGGTGTTCATACTCGAGGAATACCAATGTCCTTTAAGTATTGAATTTCATTTTTTTCTACTTCAGGATTATACTCAGGCACAAAAACTTAATTCTGACGTTTACTTTTAAAGGGAAACACAGTCGGTTCTGCTATAACGCGATAGTTGCGTTCCTGCGCAACATCATGTTATAGAAAATCACACTAAAGAAATAATGGGGCCTATGGGAAAAATGGGGTTGGGGCAGACCACCAAAAAAATCACTAAAAATCGCTCAAAAATCACACAAAAGCCTAACACAAAGGATAGCACAGTTTGAATAAATGTTTAATTCATATCTAGCAATGAAATAAAAGTAAATTAACACCTTACCTTGAAAAAATGTCAAGATGACTTGATAGAGGAGGAGGTTCTAGGTTGCTCTGTTGTTAAAGCAGGGTCTGAGGGTCATTATAATCATCATCGCCTTCAGGTGCAGTTGTGGTTGCAGGGTTAGGGTGAAAAATAGTTAATCCAGAAGTGGATGGCTGTGGTTCATTGTTTTCTGACTGTTTCTTGGGGGTTGGCTTAAAAAAGACATCCAGTTTTTGCTGATTTACACTTTTTCTTCTTCCATGAAGAAGCTGTTCACAGGGTGCCAATTAAGATTTTATTCGATGAACTGCTGTTTTCTGCATTGTAATCATTGTCCTGTAAGAGCTGCAACTGCTTCTTAATTTCCCTCAGGATAGAAGACAAAACAAAAGTGGAAAGCCCTCGTGGCGCTGCATCCTGGACTACTACTTCATCTCCAGCTTCCACTTCCCCCTCAGCAACAAGTTGTTGTAGATCAGCTGGAGAGAGGTCTTCACAGTGGGACTCAAATAGCTCTTCAACATTCTCATTCTCCACTTCTTCAAATCCAACTTGCTTTGCAAGATCAACACAATGTTCTTTGATTCTTGGGAGCTCCTGTGATGGATCAAAGCCTTTAAAATCTTGAAAAAAATCTGGAAGAAGCTTCCGCCAGACTGCATGCAAATAGTCCTTACTGACATCACCTCAGGTGTCCACAATAATGTCATCTGCATTCTTGATGTTAAAGCTCTTCCAAAATTGAAGAACACTGTCCTTATCCACCTCAGTGGCTGTAGTCAGCCTCTTAAATATGCGCCTTATATAATAAGCTTTAAAAGCTTCTATTGCACCCTCGTGCAAGGGTGGAAGGAGAGAAGTTGTGTTTGGGGGTAGAAATAGCACTTTGATGTTTTCAGAAAACTCACCAATGGTGGGAGGTTGGCTTGGCACATTGTCCAGGATAAGGAAAATCTTGAAATCCAAATTTTTTTTCCTACAATATTTTCTAAAAACATCTTCCAAAACATCAACAATAAGATCACAAAAAAATTGCCCCATCATCCAACCTCTTTTGCTTGACCTAAAGCAGACTTAAGGTAACATTTCATGCTCACGGGTTGGTACACCACCACAGGCTTGAAATTATCACAATGCCAGCGTGGAGACTTTTGGACACTAACATTGCGCGTAGTCAGGACAAAGCGCACAAAACGATCATGTGATGTCGGCACGGAGCCTCTTTCAGCGCTAACATTGTGCATGCGAAGGACGAAGCCTGTGAAATGATCATGTCATGTCGACATGTACTGCGCGCAACGATGGAATCAAGTTGTAGCCAACACAAATTTGTGTTTTTGAAATAGCGTTCTCCGGTTTGTCAGTAGCATTATAGCCAATTTGCATTGCCGGAACACATGTAATAACAGATATGACAGTTTTCTAAATGAAAAAGTTCTGAACTTTCTCTGGTTTCCATTGATACCCTGCTAATGTCTTAGAATTATATAAAGAAAAGGTGCATATATTACAGCATTTATTACTTTCATTCATTAGTGCCTACCTTTCCATTAGCAAGAAATGAGTGGGCACAATAATTTATAACAGCAAGGTTATTATTAGGTTAAGGATAATTTCTCCTAATTGTATTTATTTCCATAAATTATTACTGTAATTTGACAAATTACTAATTAATATATAATTTATGATCCCAGAAGTCAAGACATAACTGAGAAATCAATATTTTATACAAATCACAAAGTCATGGTAGTAATTTTTGGATTGGTTAAATAAGTATGTGTAAAATATTCATTTTTCTTGACTGCCAACTTCATTAATCAGCCAAAGGAGCCTAAATAGATTTGACACAAGGGAATGACAGAAGTCACATTGCAGTCCAGTACAGTCCCCTGTATCATTTGTCACCGACATTCTGCAGAGCCCTGCGGAGTAGTACCATCTCATGAGATGTCGGAGCAGAATTTTGTTCACAAGTTTGTTTGGGCTTCAGTCTCCCTACTTGAAATATAGAATTATTATCAAAATTCAGAATGAACATTTTGGACAACACTTTCCATTTGCTGAATGCTCTACAGTAGTAAAAATAGGTGAACAAGAGAAAATTAAATCATATGATAAGAAAAATTATCTCCTGCATCCTTGCAATATGGTTTTGATCATACCATGCAGTCATTTTTAATGCACAAAAGAAAATTTTAATTTCAGATATAAAATCATCTGAAACTCAAAACGGAACTGAAAGCTTACGTTAACATCAATTTCAAAACATTTAAGTTCCAGAATAACTGAATCTTCAATTGGTCAACTGGGACATTATTAGACCTTAACAAGGCGAAGGATTATGTTTTATAACAAATTGACTGGAGTGAAAACATTCCAAATCAAAATAAACAATCTTTCACAATAATTCCAACAGAAGTAAAGTGTAGTTATTTTAAATGAATGGCTTATCATACACACAGATTAAGTAAGGCTTCTGACACAGATATTTCTTGTGGGAAACGTTGCATCATGGATTATTTAAAGTGGTAATTTGTGTGGAGATGATGGAAGCACATGCAAAGGTTTAGAAATGTGAATGCATGCATTTCATCCTAAACTTGGTGATGCATTTTAATGCTTCCGCGTCTTATACTATTGAGTTGTAGGATCATCTTTTCTCTACCTGTGACCTTGGAAGTTGGAAGAAGGTTCCAAGCACAGGATATATTTTCATGGGTTACTCCTGTGGGATTCGTTATATGTGACCAATTACAGAATACCGTAGGTAGCAGCATTGAAAAATGATCTATGTTCATCTTTTTAGTGGAACTAGAATTAATTGGGCATGAAAAAACCATAAATAAAAAGACTGACTTCTGTTTTGTTTTTGATTTTTAAACCCTTTTTTGGCCTGTTGGTGTTACAGGAGGAACAAAATAGAGGCAAACCCAACTGGGAACACCTAAATGAAGACTTGCATGTATTAATCACTGTGGAAGATGCTCAGAACAGAGCAGAAATAAAGCTAAAGAGGGCAGTGGAGGAAGTTAAAAAGTTGCTTGTACCAGCGGTAAGTGCCTTCAACTACAGATTGTAATTTCCCCCATGTAACTTATTTAATTTACTTGCTCAAAGTCACAGCAGTTGACTAAAATGTACAAACAAGAATTTTATAAAAGGGAGATTTCTTTTTTTCTCTCTCGTGTTAGTGTTTTCCACTTGTCTCTGAAGGCATTATCTACCAGTCAGGCTGTCATTTGCTGCATTCCATCTAAAATTGGTGGTATGGTGGTCAGTGAAGATTATCTAAGATCACAAAGAGATCTTGATCAATTGGGTCCATGGGTTTAGGAGTGGCAGAAAGACTTTAATTTGGATAAATGAGAGGTATTGAGTTTTGGTAATACAAACAAGGACAGGATTTACACAATTACTGGTTGGACCCTGGGTAGTGTTGTAGAACAGAGAGACCTAGGGGTTCAGGTACATAATTCTTTGAAGTTTGCGTCACAGAGTGTCAGAGTTGGGATGTCGTGTTAAGATTGTACAAGATATTGGTGAAGCCTCTTCTGGAGTACTGTGTGCAGTTCTGATAATTTTGTCATAGGACAGATATTACTAAACTAGAGAGGTTCAGAAAAAATTTGCCAGGATGTCACCAGGAATGCAGGTTTGAGATATAAAAATAGACTGGAAGGACTGGGGCTTCTTTCACTGGAATGTAGGAGGTTATTGAGGTTTATACAATCGTGACGGATGTAGATAAGGTGAATGACAAGGGTTTTTTCCCTAGGGTGGGGGAGTTCAAAACTAGAGAGTACATTTTTAAGGTGAGAAGAGAAGGATTTAGAAAGAACATGAGTGGCAGCTTTTTTTTTTATGCAGAGAGTGGTTTGTGTGTGAAATGAACTGCCGGAGAAAGTGGTGGATGCAAGTACAGTTACAACATAAAAAAGACATTTGGATAAGTTCATGAATTGGAAATGTTTGGAAGGAAACGGGCCAAGCGCAGGCAGGTGGGACTAGTTTAATTTGGAACATGGTCAGCATGGACTGATTGGACCAAAGGGTCTGTTTTCATGCTGTATGACTATCCAACAGTTGGAACTAATCATTGTTCATGTGAAAATCTTGACAACAAATGTTAGCAAGTTTGCTTGCTGGTATCAGAGGTGAGTATATCCTTCCTCTGATTTTATAGATCCAGCATGGGTTGTTGTTTGATGCAAAAGATATTTTGTTCTTTCCTGATGTAAAGTATAACATATTGGGACTGTCTTGCATTTAAAACATTACCAACTTGTGAGGCCACTTTTAATGATATGTTGGTTTGTGCTTGCAATCCACAAAACCACTCTGTTCCTGCTAACAGTTCCATTTACGTGAGGTGAAATTCTCAGAAATGCAGAAAGATAATGGTCACTTTATATGCGTAAAACAGATGCTTAAACACCCAATAAGTCAGAATGTAGGTGGTGCTCGTTCTGTGGCCAAAATGCCATATCATATGGCACTATACATTAAGTGTCTGTAGATATGGAATGAAACTGGTTTGATCCGTTGCAGTGGCAAGTTGCCTGCTTCAATCCACTTCTTCAGACCAGCAGCCAAACCTCATGGGACTTTTAAGGTTATCACCTGAAAGCTGGGTCTAAGATTTTTGGCTTTGCTTATTGTGTTTGTTGTTGCAACTACATGTAGAGAAGGAATTGACTCCCCTTTTTTTAATCCCCTCTTGATTCGTCACAACACATGTTTTTATTTCTTTTTAGCACAGAGCTATCACACTTCACTTGAAATATAGTTCACAAGAAAATTAAGGAGCTAATTACCAAGGTTTCCTTCAGTGAAAGAAAGAGGAATTTTATTCTCTACCATCCCCATGGAAAAATAGTAAAAATGTGACATCAAGCATACAAACACAAAATAAAAAGTTTAAAAGGGAGACTGTCTGGTACAGGAAAGTAGGATAACGGATACATAGTTTATATGCTTTCCGTCCTGAAGAATTAAATTTTGAACCTGAGACACAGTTGCTTAATTGTTGACAAGTATCCTCAGCAGTGCTGAGTTTTGTAGATATCCTTGAGTTTTTGTAGAGTGGTTGTTTCCCCAGTTTACTTTCTCACAGGGACTTTTTTTTGAATGATGATGAAAACAGGCAGGGTGAGAGAGAGAATCTTCCAAGTTCTTGCTTACAAATCTATTTTGATTATCTCTGTTCTGATGTTGAAAAGCAGCTGTTGAACCATAGTTCAGCGTATAATCCCGAGTGTGCCTGTCCAAGTCGGCTGACTGGCAGTCATGTAATTCATCTCTGAATATGTGAAATTATCAAATAAATGTGAATTAAAACACAAGTTGTGAATGTCTTGATGCTGACTTGGTTGTCTGGTTTCAATGTCTTTAGATTCAAATCATATTTTTAGCTTAGACAGTTTGAGGCAAACTTTGTGAGGCCCACGATCAGGTCCATGTTTCTTTCTTTCTAAAATCTGTTTAAGATTTCGGGTTTAATGATCAGATTTGATGGTCCATATTTTCCACTATCTTAACAAAATGCGAATGCCCTTCACTCTATGTTAAACCTGTAGGCTGATGGCAGTTGCCACTGTTTCTAGACCAGTCACGAGAGAGCATCTAAATTGACCTATTAGGCTGCCCCACACATGAACAGTGACCTACCTATAGGGCCATGACTTACACCACAGCTTACCAGCTCTGCCTTAATGTTGAGACAGCTCAATTTGCCCTTGTCCTGCAACAAACCTCATTGGGTCCAGCACAAGATGACACCTCAATTTAGGTTCAATTCAATTTCAGCTGAGTTCATTCTCTCGGCTAATAAGTTGCTTAGTCAGCAACAAGTTTTTTAATCGATACTACTTATCAATGGCTTTGGTTGAGGAACAGTCATCTTGGTGTGAGCTAGTTTGTTCATGGAAGGGAAATTTTTAAAAAAATGCTGACGGGCAAAACACATGATGAAACTATTGTTACAATGATTGGGATTCATCTGGTACCTCAATGACTTTTCAATTTAGCTTCCATGAATTTATTTAAGGGAATATCTGGATGTAATTTTATTCCACTTGTGTTTTTTTTGTATGAGTGGAATTGGTAAGTAGGAGGAAAACTGATGTAACATAATTTAATTACTTAAACTACCCTGTGAAACACATGAAAGTAACTCCAGTTGAGGGCTTAAGATTTTGCTATAGCTATAAAGACTAATTAGCTCTGTCATCTTGTGACTGGATTTTTAATTTAGTCTAATGTTTTGCAGGAGGAGTTGTTATGAACACTGTACTGATACTTTTGAAATAAAATTCAAATTTCCAGTCAATAACTGAAAGAATATTGCAACAGAATTTCACACCTTAAGATGTTTGCTCTCATAAAAGACTTGAAGCATTATTAAATGTCTTTACAGGTAATTTACCCTTTAAACCTCAAAACAGAATACAGTTAATTAAGTAAACACTCGGTCCAAAATGACTCTTATCTCCCAATAGTTCACTTCTGTGATTTTTCTTTCTCAACCACATAATTTCTAACCCAGAATTGTTTGTCACAGTAAGAATATTCCAAGAGATTTTTACTCTTGTCAAGTGAGGCAAATCTCCCAGCTTTGATTAACACTTGACAAATGTCATCTTTTCAATCTGGGCATAAGCATCCACCTATATCTGGGCACTGAACCGTAGAAACTTTGGGCCTGTACCTATTCTGCCTTTCAGACCCGAGCAGACCATCTTGACTATGCTTTACAGGGATATTTTATGAAAGCTTGGAACCCAATATTATAGTGTGCCTTCCCATTCCAAAGCCTAGCTCCTTGGTATCATGAATCAAGGCAGCCCTATATCAAAAGAAATTAATTATTATGCTTGGGAACTAAATTTTCTTTCAACATGGAACTAAACGTTTGAAACCAAACTGTTTATAACTTCATTTTCTCAACAGCTTTCTGAGATTTTGGAGACCGTTGATCCACTGCTGCTAAGTGGAAATACTTTGTACCTTATTCCCAATGACTCATTCTGGGCTCCTTTTAAACTTTCACCATCAATCCACAGAGGCATATTTCTCACATATCTCATGGCACCTTCATTTTATTCTAAATGCAAAGAGACACCCCCAAAACATAGTCTCATAAATTTCATGATTGAAACAGAACTAGGTTACTTTATGAAAGTTCATGAAATACTATTTAGAAACTCTGAAATTGGACACAGCCATGCGTAGCTTTAAGTTAAGAAGGGAGTAGCTTAGTTTTAGTTTCATTTTGAGTTCTGAGAGTTGTGCCAGTTTGTCTGGAACTGTGTTTACATGAATTTAAAAGAGGCTATAAAAAAAAGCCCTTGTGGAGAAAAGTTCAGTATTTCAGAAAGCAAGGGTAGAGCACAGGAAAGAAGTTGAACTGTTCCCAAGCAACAAGAGTCCTATGATGCAGTGAGACAGAAGCAATCCTTTTAGAAAGAGATAACCAGCCAGCTGGTTAGTGAGTATGCAAGTTTCTTTCATTAGAGAAAAGCAGTCATTCAGGGAGAAAAGGCTTGTGATATTGGTTGTACAACTTAACAGTCTCCAGAACAGACAGGGCAAGAAGAAGGCTGACGGCTTAGAAGTTAGCAAGAAAGTTCCAGAAACAGAAGGCTTTGAGGTGTCAGAGAGGAAGATCTCTGACAGTGCAATTGAATGCATGCATTTAAGGAACGCATGTTGAGGAGTAAACTGTGCTAGTTAGTTATTTAAGGGTCTCACAAAGAAAAATTAACTAAAGAAGACAGCATTGAGTGAATGCAGATGTTTGCTGGAAAGAAACCAAGTATAACCTTTGCTAACATTTAAGAAAGTAAAGTGATGGAAGGTGTCATCAACAGTGCTATCAAGCAGCACCTGCTTAGCAATAAACTGTGGAGGAACACCCAGTTTGCTCCTGACCTGATTACAGCCTTGATTCAAATGTGGACAAAAGAGCTGAATTCCAGAGGTGAGGTAAGAGTGACACCCCTTGGCATCAAGGAAAATTGGAATCAATGGCTGTCAGGGGGAAAAATCTGCTGG